GGGGAGGAGACTCCTGACGTGAACTTGGGGGCGCTGCCCACGTGGCATGGCACGTGAATGCTGACGTGGCATCCAAGACTCGGCGGGGTATGGTTTGACGTGGCACTTACCTGTATCGCGACTCACCTGCTGACATGGCGCTTCCATACTCCAGCTGTATCTTCGATCTGACGTGGCATACCAGTGACTAAGGGTTGGCAGATACTGCGTTGTTGACGTGGCATTTCTGTGACGACCTTGCTGGCTATTGACACTGATGTGGCATACTCCGTGGAGATGCTGCGTTAGTCTGACAACGGCCGACACGTGGCAGGGGGCGAGCGCTGCCATTTCTGGACGATTGGTGAGGGATTGATACTTGCACTTGAGCGTGTTGGCGGGCGGTACAACATCACGAAAAGGTTGTAGTGCCGCGCGTCGGCCCTTGTGCCCGGCTGCATTGCCATTTGCAAGACAGCCGAAGAGGATGAGGTGCTGACATCTTGATTGATTGGTGTTTTGCTGGCCGACTCTACTTACCATGGGCTGTTCTGTGGATGTGTACTACTCACCAACTGTGTGTTTGTCTTGATCACATTGGTCGTGGCTGCGGAACCCGTACCACTCTCAGATAGGAACGTCATCACACAAATCAAACAACAGTAGGAAATAGATAAAATAGAAGAATCTGAAACTTTATTTATTTATTTTTATTTATTTTCTTTGTCGTAGGACATAAATTGAAGTGAGGCCGTGGAATTTGTTGTTGTCTTTGTAAAGTTTATTGTGCGGCGAACATGGTTGCATCTCTGCCGACCGCCGACCGCCGACCTCGATCGCCGACTGTATTGCAGCCGACCAGTAGGGCCGACTGGTCGGCGGTCTGCCGACCAGTCAGAAAACAACCATCCACTAATTGCTTTTCAGATCTGATTTGGAAGTTGTACTGCGCTTGCTGAGTACAACCCAAATCCGATGATAAATTTTTGGGGATGGGGGGTTTGGGGAGGGGTGTATAGGGGGATATAGGGGGGTATAGGTGTGGTATAGGGGGTATTGGGGGGGGGGKRTGRGGGTGTTTGGGGGCGGTTTGTGGTTGTTGGGGGGGTGTATGGGGGTATTTGGGGTTGGTATGGGGGTGTTCGTGGGCATGTTAGAAATTCTGGACCTTTTTTTTTTTTTTTTTTTTTTTTTTGTGAGGTGCTGATCTGGGTGCCGCAGTTTGTGGCAGATTGGTTCGGTGGATACGAACACATCCTCGTGGTGGCGGAAGCCTTGGACAAAGTAGACCTGGGCTTCTTGTGGCTGGTCGACGCCCACTATAAGATCTCGTTGGAAGTAGGACCCTTCCATGGGGATAGAGCAGAATAGGTCGTCAACATTTTGCGAGTTATTAAGGAAGACCGGACTGATGTGAACGACGGAAGTGAGGATGCGATACTTCGCCGCGAGGTGGCCGCCACCCCCTGGTATATAGGCGACGTATTCCTACTGTTTGAAGTTTTGTGAGTTTAGTCCGAAGCACGGCCCCCAAAACGGAAAGAGCACCAACAACAAGCAGTAGGAGAAAATGTAGTAAGTAGGGGACGAGAACCAGGATCGGAAATGAGTGTACAATAGGAGGAAGAGTACCGTCGTAAGGAAGGATAGACTAAACTAGGAAAGCACGAAATTTCGGTGGATGCAGTAGTCGACTGGAAGAAAGCGTGAAGGGAGATACCGCGGGATGGCTCGAAGAATGACGCTTTGAGAGAAAAGGCCCCGTGAGATCTTGCTGCCAAGAGAGATAGACAAGGGTAGAGATAAGTATACCGACAAGGAATGGGGTGAGCAACCCTGTAATGGACTGGGTGGGAATGAAGCTCATGGAAGATACAGTGTACCTAGTGGTGGAATTGGAATGGCGTGCAAGAGGGGAGTTCGGGGGTGTGAACATGGACCTTCCGGGACTCGTACATGCCACGGGGTCGCTGTACCTATCGGAAGAAGGGTGGCGCACCTTTGGAATCACCTTGGCATCCGGGGGCGATCCCGTGCAAATGTTTGAAGGAGCTTGGTAGATAACATGGCGAGAAGGGTTCGAATTCGCGGATCCGAAGCGGGACGATGTGACGGTTGAAGTAAGAACCGTCATGGCAGGAACCTTTACCCTGCCAAACGAGTTAAGCAGGCGGTGGCTGCACTAGCTAGGCTAAGCTTCGAGGAAACCTCGGTGTATCAAGAATACTACCGGGCCTTTCTAGAGATGGGCCGTTTGAGGAAGAATGGGGATACAAAGTGCTATGTGTTTTGCGTGTTGTTGTAACGACTAGACCAAGGACCCCGCTAGTAAGTGATGAAACTATGTGGGGAGTCGTTAGGCGCGAAGTAAGTCGCGGAATGACCTCCATAGACGACGTCTTCCGTTTGTTCCGGCTACCAGAGGAGGAGGCAGCCCAATAAAGAGGAAAAGAAAAATAGGAGTGACGGAAAGGACGGGGTAGGAAGCAGGAGGACAACTAGCAATGCCCGGGTCCATGGAAGGAATAGGAGGTATTTAATTTTTGTCTGAACCATGCAGGAATCCACCAACCGCCGATGGCAATGAGGCGCACCCGAACTTCGCGACGACCCACGCACCCGCGACCGCCCACGGAGAGTGGTAGCGGATGGGAAGTGTCGTTCCCAGCAAGCTACGTGGTTTGAGGGATCGACGTGGAATGGCGAGTAGTGACGTTGGGATGGAGCCAAGCCTTTATGATGGTGGAATGCCTATGGAGTGACATGAGATTCAATAGGGGGCCAGGAGATGACCTGTACACCGACCTAAGGGTGATTGGAACCGTTTATCTACCTGAGATTGGGTGGCACATGCTATGGACCGAGATGGCACTAGGGCATGGACATCTGCCAATCTTTCGGAGAGCAGCTAGGGCGTTGAACCGGATAGGCCAAGAAATTTGGGGAAGAAGGAATGTAGGGTTGAGGACTCGGGTGGAAGTAGAAGGGTGGCGAGAGTTTAGAGCCCTAATGGCAGGATGCGGTGTCGAATACCCCGTTTCATGATAGACTTAGTATTCGGGAGCCTCGCGAGGGCAAGGGACCTGCTGAATGCAACCTTAGTTTGGGTACACCATTTCCAACCTCAGACAACAGGAATGTTCTACGATGTATCGGTAAAACATGGCTCATTTTGGGGAAATAGGGCCTGGGAATTGCTAGAGATCATCGATATTTTGATATTCGGGACGCCACGATTGGCTTATGAAGAATATAAGCCAGTAATTATTAGGGAAATAGGAATGGGAGAGAACAATTTTGCGGGGGTGGCTAGATTGTTCGAAGAGCCCGTCGAACAGGATGAGCCTGAGGAACCGGTGTGAGAAAATGACGAGACGGTGGGCTAACGAGAGAATATTGGCGATAAATTGCTAAACAAAAGCGAGAATAGCGATCTTCAGAAAGATACCGGCTGAAGTCCTACTCTATCTAAGGGTGGGTCAGAATAGGACCAGGATGGCCGCAACCACCGAGGGCGCTAGAGGTGTCCAAAGGCAGGAAAGGAAAAGGTCATCTCCAAAATGAGGGACCAACCCCGCCATGGACATGTCGCCTTAGATCTGATGCGCAGTGATGTCAAAACGCCGACCCATAGCGGCAGGCTTTCCGACAAGGCGAGTGATACCTCGCAAACCAAGAAAGGAGGGTGGACCGGTTACGACCGCCATAAAGGTAAAAGTATTAAAATGGCAAAGATGGAGAGACTATGAAACCGGCAGTGAGCCTTAGGACCTGGAAATCCGAGGAACTTTGAACGATCTGCCATTCCGGGAAAATGTTTTTTCCTATGTGCAGGTTTAGAGAAGGATGATGACCGAAGAAGCAGCAGGGAGTCTACGAAGCAAGGGGAGTCAGAGCATAGAGAAGGATGTAGAACAGAACGAGGGGACCGTGAGGGACCGAGAGTCAACGACCCCGGAAGGTACTAAGGAAGGAAGGAAGGAAGTTGCAACCGGGGAAAACTCAGGAAAAGTCGGAGGAAGCAAGCGAGGAACTCAAGAAACTTGGGGGGATAGGGGTAATGGCAGCCCGATGCCACGAGCATCGGAAGACGCACTGCCAAAGAAGGTAAGACTAACGGACGCTCGGAAGAAATTAGCCGAAATAGAAAGGAAAACGGCGGAATATAAAGCAAAACTCATGGAAGAGATGATGAATGAGGGCGCGGGGGACTCCGCCGGAGAAAGGCCGCGCGAAGAGCAAGGGACAAATCAGGGGCGAGGAAGCCGAGATGATATTATACAAAGAAGAAAGGATAGAAATGCGGAGCGGAGAGAGACGCCGACCAAGAAAGGAAAGGAGAGAACGGAATCTCCGGGAAGGGAGGCGGAAAAGGTTACTAACCTACCTGCTATAGACAGCGGGCCAAGTCGACCAGTGGCCTCGCCCATAATCACAAGGGGGTGCGAAGGACTTTGGAGCTTGAGAGAAAGGGTGCTAGGCTGGTTCGACCCGAAATGGATGCCGAAAGTTGGAGAGGGGTTGAAAGCTGGAAAGGAAGAACAAGGCTCTAGCACCGTCGGCGGAACAGGAGGAACCGAGGGGGGACTTAGAAAGATGGTGTCTTCCCTCATGCGTGCGCTAAATAAAAATCAGGGGTACCCAGCCGATGCCAAGAAGAAGTTGACGTTCGATGGGTCAAATATCACGAAGTTCCTGATAGACTACGAGAACTTGGCAGCACTACTAAGATGGAGTGAGGAAGAGAAGATGGAGCACTTAGGGCAGCATGTGTCACTGAACCTAGGAAGGGACATAATGACTGTCGTCTCCACCAACGAATCTTGGAAGGAGGCCCGGGACGTAATGACGAGGAAATACTTGGCAACCGAGAAGATGGCTATGGAGACAGAGCTGGCTGCGGTGTAAAGAAAGAACTTTGCAACATATAACGATTTCCTGAAGGAATTCGCCCTCGTGGCGTTGGAATCCCGGGGGTAACCGGCTGTATAATGAGTAAGTACTTCCTCAGGCAATTCACCGAGTTTGGTAAAGATAAGATCCTATCGACTTACCAACAGACCACGAAGTTTATGAATACACGGGAGTACCGTAACAAACATTGCTGAGAAAATGGTTGTAACTGACTTGTTGGCCCTGTTGAAGGAGGGAGAGGTCATAGACTTAACAGGGAAAACAGGAGATAAAGTGAAAAGGGGAATAGAGAGTCTACACGAGCGCGTCCACGGAGTAGATGGCAAGATTGAAAGAGTGGAAAACGCGCTAATGGTGATGCGCCCAAGTGACGCAAACCCAGGCGGCTCGAAACCCCCCCCACCACAAAACGTTGTGGCTCCAACGGGAATAGCTAACCGAGGGTTGAATAGGAGAGATCCGGCCATTGAACAATACAAATATTGTACGTTGATCGGACACTTTGTGCGAGCATGTCCAAGGCTCAACCATGATATCATGCACAAAAGGTGCTCTAGGTCGCTACGAGGAGAAACCATAGGCCCTCGAGGAGAGAAAGTGAATTGAAACTCTTTGGGAGGGATGCGCCGGGCCATAATTGCGGTCAACAACCTTGACATCGCCTCAGTACAAGCTGAGCCAGTGGCAGAACTCGCTTGGGAAAAGGCGCAAGGACGCGGGCCGCGGACCAACTTTATTTTAGAAAATGATGGGCAAGATAGGGTGAACGTGACCATCAGGCTGTGAACAACATAATGGAAGGTCGTATAGAACGCAGTTATGGAAGATGAAGGGAATGGCCTGGAAGCGCCACAGGAAACGGACGCGCAAAAACAAGAGAAGGTTTACAGGAAACCTAGAGAAGAGGCTCCGATAGACAAAGCAACCTCGGCCAAAAATAAATTTCGGTATCAGATTCCCATCCTGACTATGCCCGAGATCAATGACACCCTTAGCAAGCTGCTAGCGACCATGGTGTTGGCCTCATTTCAAACCATGCTACAAGCAAGTCCTAGGCTCTTGAAAGACCTTAGGCAGCTACTGACGAGACGAAGAGTAGAGATAGAAGAAGGGTCGGAACAACAGGAAGAAGGGAAGGAAGAGGAGGCACCGCGAGAAGTCGCTAACCTCCGAAGGATTCCCGGGGACCTGAAAAACCTAGAGAAGGCCTTCGCAAACATCCGGCTAAGCCTGCCAGACCGCGAAGGTAGCGAGGTTATGAGGGCGCCACCAGGGGCAAAACTTCGTTTTCATGCACTGCCAGTGGGCAAGTTGAAAGTCCAGATTGGAAGCCACCCCACCGATGCGCTGGTGGACGGAGGGGCTGAAATCATGCTCATTAGGCGAGACTTTGCGAAGATTACGAGATGCCCAGTAAACAAGGAGACAACTGGAAGCATCCGTGGAACAGGTGGGGAAATTCCTTTCTTCGGGTATGTTACTAAGTGTGCAGTCAAGGCCGGGGTTAGGGAGTGTATTTGGTCGATCCAACGGATGTCTGTCATGGACGAAATGGACCACGACATAATCCTTGGGAGACCTTGGTGCGCAAATGTGGAGATGATAGGGATGCACCTGCATGATGGGACATACATGGTAGACATAGAAGATCTGGTGATGCGACGTGGTGAGTTGCTCAGTTTCATCGGGACAGGGGGTGACACACCAAAGGGAAAGCTAGCAGCATGGTCACCTTCGTTCGAGGAAAGTGCCAGAAAAGGGGCATTCGCTTGTATGGAAGGAATGAGAGAAAGGGTAGAAATTATGATCGAAGAAGCATTCAGCAAGAAAGAATGTGTCAAGATGGGATTACCGCAGAAAAAGCGGAGACAGGAGGACAATGCCTTGGGGGTTATGGTAGTAGAGAAAGAAACAGAGGTCGAATTGGGAGTCAGTTAGACCGAAGGAGGCCTGAGATGAGGAGTCCAGGATAACATTTGAAGTCCCCGACTTACTGCACCTCGTCAAAGCTTTAGGTACTGTAAGGTAGGCGTGGATCCAATTGCGCTGGCCAGGTTCGAGGGAGAAGTTCGAAAAGGCCACTGCTTAAATGAGAAATTGATCAGTATCCAGCCTCGGATTGCCGGAGCACCACGGGCGATTCCGACTGTTCATTTTTTAGGAGAAAGATCCCGGAAGGAAGCGTTCTCAGGTACAAGCCAATAGGAAAGAAGGCTAAGCCTGTATCGATCTTGCTAGAGACAACTAGGGAGGAAACCATGGAAAGGGAGGAAGAAGTCCTCCGGGTGATTAGAGAGAGAAGCGCAACTGAAGGGTATCGAATACCGAATGAAGTGGCGGAGACCATGAAGATAGGGGTGGAGGGGTTCCTGATGGAGCAGGAAACATGCTTGATCAAGGAAGCATGTCAGGAGCTCCACCTAGCGTTTGCCTTCAATGACCATCAAAAGGGGCGACTGGACGCAAAGTTGATACCTCCATTCAGGATCCACACAGTTGAGCATGAATGTTGGAATGGCAAGGGACCTGCCTACGAGTCGAAGTAGCAGGAGAAGTGACAGAATTGCTTAGAGCAAAGATGGACTCCTTTGTGACAGAACCCACCGCTTCGCTGTACTAGATCGTTTGTGTTCCGGAAGCCTAACAAGACGGTTAGGTGGATCCACGATCTGCAGAAACTAAATGATGTCACCATCCGAGACGCAGGATCGTTGCCTCAAGCGGACCTGCTGACAGAATCGTTTACTCGCTGGTAGACCTCTATTCCGGATACAATCAGCTCCCGCTGGACGCCCGGGATAGACCCTACACGGCTATGCATACCCCGGTAGGTCAGCTGCAAATGCAAGTGACTCCTATGGGCTTTACCAATGCTGTGGCGGAAGCACAAAGGAGAATGCTCGCAGTTGCGGGAGACATGTTCCCTGCAAAATGTGAACCTTACATTGACGACAATCGCATCAAGGGCACACGGGACAAGGATGAAACGAAAATTCAGCCTGGAATGCGGAGATCTGTGTGGGATCACTTGCAGGATATCAAAGAGCTTCTCCGCAGGTTCCTGGTATACAACATCACTGTCCGCGGCCCTGAGAGTATCCTGGTAGTTCCAGAAGTGACCATCCTGGGGTTTCGTTGCGGGTCATATGGGAGGAAGCCCGACCTTGCCAAGACTGACAAAATCTCTCAATGGCCAACACCCCTACGAACCACAACGGAAGTGAGGGCCTTCCTAGGGGTTGTAGGGTCTTGGAGAATTTTCATCAAAGGCTTCACTAAGATAGCAGAGCCCATTCGGATCATGATTCGCGAAGAGGGTACATTGGACTGGACAAAGGAACGAGAGGCCACCGTCCAGACCCTCAAAGACATATTGACGTCTGAGCAGGTCACCCTTGTCGCTCCATGCTTTAACGATGAGGTAGGGCGTCCGTTTGTACTTGAAAGCAATGGGGGGTCACTGGGCGTAGGAGGAGTCCTGATCCAAAGAGGGGAGGATGAGAGAGAACGACCAATCAGATTCGAGAGTAGGACGCTGAACTCGGCTGAGCGCCGCTATTCTCAATTCAACCGTTCTCCATTACCTCAAGACCTTCCAAGCTTACCTCTTTGGAAGGAGGTTCATCTTGAGGATCGACCCGAAAAACGTCGCAGGGGCATTTAAGAACTACAAGCCTATAGACTCTACCGTGGGAAGATGGGTTGGGTTCATTTGCCAGTTTGATTACAAGATCGAGCACATAGCCGGTCTTAGGAATAGGGCAGATGGCCTGAGTAGGGTTTGCATTACACCAGAGCGAGTAGAGGAACCAATCGATGCGTTCCTCGGCTATGAGGGAGGGACCCTTGTGGTAGACAATGAGATGGTACAGCCTACCTGCACATCCGGGGAATTATTGACTAAGGCATTAGAGAAAGGGTCTCTCGTCGTGGTGGCAGAACTCACGAAGGGAGCAGTCACAAGGACCGGCCGCAAGGAAAAGGACTCATGGGGTGACATTGTGGGACCTCAGGAAGAACTGATGGCAATGACTGTAGAAGGGGGACGGGAAACAATTATGAGTTTGGTTGAGTCATGGGAACAAAAGCGGCAACAATATTTAGTAAACCTAGTACAGAATGGACGGGAGGATCACCAGGATCGGAAGGAAGTCTTCCTCATTCGCATGTATGACGACATCTTCAAGGAAATTGGTTTATTGCTAGTAGGAAACAAGGAGGCTGGGGAGGTCAGCCTCAAGGCCCGAGAAGAGGCTGACAAGTATGTATTGAAGAATGGGCATCTATTCAAGAAGGAGGAAGGCCTAATGCCTAGAAGGGTTGTGTGCGGGCGATCCAGGCAGGTAGACATAATTCGGGCGATACACGATGGATTGGCAGGAGGACACCATTCCTCAAAAGGAACATTGGCGGGAATAGCGCCACCCTACTTCTGGTCGGGAATGGGGAGTATGGTTGCCACATATTGCCAGACCTGTTTGATTTGTCGGTCTGGGTTTTTGAACCATTGAGACCCACGCGCGTGCTAGGACCAGGACATATGGTTCATCTTGATCTCGTGGCCATGCCCATATCTATGAAAGAATACTTGTACATACTTGACGCTAAAGATAATCTTAGTGGGTTTGTGGAGGCAGTAGCTCTTAAAAAGAAAACCGGATTGGCAGTGGCAGAGTGGATCGAGGACTTCTATCTAAGGCACACATTCATCCGAAGATTCATAGCTGATAATGGGACAGAGTTCGTAAATCAGGGCGTGCTGAGTATCTGCAAAAGACTCGGGGTGCCCATTAAGCTAATTGAGCCATACCACCCAAAGGCTAATGCACCCGTGGAGAGAGGGCATCCGACACTAAAGAACAAAATCACGAAGTTAGCAGTTGATGATCTTGGGAACTTGCCTAAGTATCTCAAGCAGGCCGTTTTCGCAGAGAACGTGACTCCAAAAAGGACTACAGGATGTATTCCAGCCGAGTTATGGTATGGGAGGGAAATTGACTTCCCAATGGAAGCCCTAGTACCAACTTGGAATAGGTTGAATGATAACCCGCGCTTGATGACAGAACAATTAATCGAGGCTAGATGTCAGCAGATTGTTCAAAATGAGGAGGCAATGGAAGAAATAGTGAGTCAGGTTCTGGATAGGAGGATGAAAGACAAGGCAAGGTGGGGTCAACTGAGGAACATTAGGAAAGAACCACTACAGGTGGGGGAAATGGTCCTAGTCAGGCATTCGACACTAGAAAGTACTTGGTCAGGACAGCTGGGGAGGAGGTTCAAGGGCCTCTACCGGGTCGCCAAGAGGCTGGGGATTAACACTTTCGAGTTGGAAGATTTTGATAGGACCAGGGTGAAAGGACCGTTTCCAGGACAACGGCTGGTCAGATTTCTAAGTCGGGATCCAGTGGAACAGTGGGTGCAAGAGGCTCAGGACAAGGAAACTGGGGAACAGGCCGGCTAAGGCGCCAACAAAGATCTTACCTATGATGTGTTTTGTCTTTCTTTGGGATGGGTTTTTTATTGTGGTTATGGGGGCGGATTGCATGGGTTGAGTAATGTTGCTGGAACGCTTGGGGCATTGTACCATAGTACAATAGGTTTTGCAAGGGGTGGATGATATTGGGAGAAACGCATAGGGCATTGTACCATAGTTTTCGCAAGGGATGGATGATATTGGGAAGAACGCCTGGGTCATCATACCATAATTTTTGTAAGGGATGGATGGTATCAGGATGGTTGCCTGGGGCAATGTATCATAGCTTTTGAGAAAGATGGATCGAAATCGAGTGGGAAACACAGAACGGCTCATTACATGGCTGCGCATGAAAGGAACTGGCGCAAGGGGTGCATCCTTGGAAACTGGGGGAACGCTGGCTTCATAAGGAAACGGGATTTTGCTTTTGCTACTGCTTGGACGGGGCTCCACCTTAGGAATATGGATTGGGGCTTCCGTCTTCCTTGTGATGACAGACACAGGGGAAGCTCAAGACAAGATGGAACTCAATAACGAGAAGGACATCAACCGCGCTCATGTAGCCTTTGAAGATGAATGGCAAAGGCCTGAGGGGCCACGAGAGGGACAAAGACCGGTACTGTACTGGGCCACAACCAAAATGGACACTAGGGAGGAGAAAGAGAAAGTTGCTGGCCAACAAGCCCTCGCCCGTTAAGGAAGGCGAGAAATTGCAGCCCTTGTCCGAAGAGGAAAGGGAGGAGCAAGGAGCAGAGGAGGGAAGAAACGAAGTAAGACAAAGTATGCATGACAGTTGTGGGGGAATGGATGAAGGAAGACAAAGTATGCAGGGCAGTTATGAAAGGAGGGATGAACGAAGAGAAAGTACGCATCACAATTGTGTGAGAATGGAGGAAGGAAGAGAGAGTATGCATGACGAACAAAGTTGGCACGACAGCTGTGAGAGAGGTTATGCGAAGTTTGAAGAGGGATACGAAAGAAGGGTAGACATCCCTTATAACTTGAATCCTGATAACTTTACGGGTGAGTTCAGTCCCGTACGGGAAAAAGAGAATGAGAGTGAGGACGAGGTGCAGGAGGTCATCGCAATTAGTAGTGGCGATGAAACGGATGAGATCTCAAAGCCTAGAGAAGAAGGACAACCTTCGACAAGTGGGCCAAAGGAAGGAACCTCCAAGTGGGAGGAATAATTTGGACCTAAACCCAGCGATTGGTTTGAACAACGGGTCAATGTAAACAAGCATGACTGGATCATTAAGGCGAGGAGATTGATGAGGGTCTGAGAGTCGGTTACACCCCTGGACTTTTACAATGAGGAGCAACTGCAAGAGATTGTGAGGAGAAAAAAAAAAACTTGGCCTCCGACCTGGGAGCCGAGGGACCAACGGGAAACAATGACGAACGAGCGCCCAAGCGGCAAAGGGTTAATAGCAACAAGAGAGATTAGGTGTAATGGGCATTGTGACAAGATTTGTGTTTCGCAATTTGAGGTGGTAAAACTTGGCTTGTATGAATAAGCCTATTTAGAGAGAGCGGGACGAGGACTAGTCGGAATTTCTGCCTCGTTGAGCAAGAAAACAGTTTTTGAGCTACTTTTTTTGGATGTGCTACCTTGAAAGGATCCTGTGCGAGAAGCATTGGCAAGGGACATGGGTATGAGACTAGTTGGGATGGTTGAATTGAGAACTTTGGACAAGACAAAGATTGTATTTGGAATGGAGACTGTGAATTTCGGATTGATTGAGCAAGCAAAAGCACCAAGTATCAGTTGAGTACAAGAAATTTTAAGGAACCTATGAGTAGAGCAGCATGAGGGTGTCCTCCCCTAGGAGCCTAATCCAACCAAGTCAAAGTCGTATCACAAGGGACAAAGTTGTGAGAGTGAGCAAGAGTGAAGAGGACAGAAGGACCCAGCGTTCGGATCTATGGTTGAACGGTCAGGCGGGCTAGCACTGCCTGAGGTAGAAAGCCTCCGCTTGAGTGCTAGACGCTAAGTCGAGTGTATGCATAAGGATATCGGAACCAGCAAACTACATTGAGAAAAGGATGAAAGATACCGCACGCAGAAAATTGTAAAGATGACCACCTTCTAATCCCCCCTAGTGAAAGATGGGATCCGTGTCCTCGAGGTCTGCTAGCATTGAGAATGGAAAAAAATGACCCTAACCAGGTTGTTCGACTTGAGAATGGAAAGGAATGACCCTAACCAGGTTGTTCGACTTGAGAATTGAAAAGAATGACCCTAAACAGGCTGTTTGACTTGAGAATAGAAAAGGATGGCCCTAACCAGGCTGTTCGACTTGAGAATGGAAAAGAATGGCCCTAACCAGGTTGTTCGCCTTGAGAATGGAAAAGAATGACCCTAGCCAGGTTGTTCGACTTGAAACAGAAATATGACCCCTGATAAGGGTCATTTTCGAAATGGGCATTAGGGTCCCCTTACATGACTGTTTGCGAAAGGTTGATTGAGAATGAGCTTGAATGAGACGAATGTGAATGGAAAAGGTCGTCGGGTCGGTCATTGAAATAGTCATGAGAAAGGTTGAAAAATATGGATGTAAACTACGCCACAGGAGACGCCCGACCGGGCGGGCCGGGCCAGTGCGACCCGGGACCCATCCACCCGGGGTACCTGGGCAGGTTGTTTTGCCCGACTTTTTTTTTTTTTTTTCGGTTAGGGGGGACTTCTGCGCTCCCTTAGACGTGCACGAATCCAACCTTTTTTTTTTTTTGAAGTTGTTGACAATGGGGGAGGGGGATTGGGGGCAGTGGGGTTATTAGTGGGTCGGTTGTGCCCCCTAGCTGCATATAGTCGGTGCGGTGCAGGCACAGAAGACTAGCATTAAAGAGTGTGTGCCTTCTATGCCTGTGATGTCCACAATGTGTACACTAACACTAAATGGACAGCAATGTTGAAGAAAATTACAACAAACTGACAACAAAATGGAACAGAGTTCAACAAACTGACAGGGATCTCACACCAAAGTTCAGCAAGGGAGCAAATTGGCATCAGAATTGAGCAAACTGCAGTACGCCAACTCTCCCTCCAACCAAACCAGCACACTCACAACAAACCGACATCTATCTCTTGGCAAACTCAGCATGTGGCAAAGAAAGCATAGCATTCAGAATTTCAGATAGCACAATAACCACTCTAAGCAAAGTAGAAGCCATCCACAACAACAAGTTTGAACACACAGAGAAACTTGAAACAGCTGCAAGTTTGAAGTCGTTTCAGATTCGTGAAAGTAGAAGAACAAGAAGAAGAAAGAAAGGAAAAAATACAGTTGTCTTCTCCTCATACAACAGCTGGAAGTCTGAAGACGTTTGCGATTTCTGAAAGTACAAGAAGAAGAAGAAGAAATAAGGAAAAAATGTAGTTGTCTTCTCCAGGTTCTCCTCATATTGGGGGGCATTTATTTTTTATTTTTATTTTTTTTAAACAACGGCCCCCTGCAGTGTTAGTGGTGCTGGTCGAAACAGACACCACTAGCACCCGGGGAGAAGCTCCATCTATTGGTGGGGAGCGTCACCTGCTTAAAACCGGGTCCAGCGTCCCATATTCAAAAAGATTCAAGATGATCTCAAAGAAAGTAATTGAGAAAACGCTTTCCAGCATTGATTACT